CGTATCTTACTTCAGTAGTTTACAGTCGTGCTTATTCAGGGCCGAGCCAGTAATGTAGCAGGAGTTGTTTGTTTTGGTTGAAAGAGCCTAATGGTAGTATCAAAAAGTAACTGTAAAACTTTCCCCTCTTGCAGCACACATTGAACGCGGTGTTACCATATTCTTTGTTTGGGGTGAAAGCCTTCCTCTATGCCGATGACTTCGACTGCTACTCGATGTTGCAGACTTCAGTTACACCGCTAAAGAGATACATAAACAGAATTAACTCTTATTGATGAGAAGTATTTATAGACATTTAATACTTGGAAATTATTACATAATAGAGAAATGCAATTATGTATATAATCCTTGTGCCTCCCTGTTTAGTACTTTCGTCCTTTGTGACTAGTTGGTATCAGACCGTGCAAGGTAGTGGTGTTGAACCTCATTCTTAAGATTTGGAACTTTCTCCAGGAAAACGAAATGATACACTACTTCGTCAAGTGTGTTAATATAGGTAAATTTTTACAATTTCACATTAAATAATTTGTAAATTTACGTATTAACACAAACAAAAATTCTAAATAAATAATTTTATTACCTACGTCATCCGATCTTTGCCTCCATCCAGCCAATTTGTGAACGTCAGGTTGCAAATTTGTTCTTGTGTGAATCATCATTTTTTTAAGGTTACAATTCCAGAGTCTAATCGGCTGTTTGTCCTCTTTTTTGTTTCATTCTCGAAAACATTTTCACAGAGATTAGTGGGTATACTTGCAATGTGCCAGATCTATCGCTGTGCAGATTTTCTGAGATCTGGAGACTTTTCCTAAGGCAGTGACATCCAGAAGTAGATAGCATCACCTGCTGTAGGAATCAATGAATATATTCACACCTCCCTTTTAATATTGCATTACACTTAATTCAATTACTTCTATTTATATATTATATTATGATTACATGGTAGTGAATATTGTGTAACAAGTGTGTCGCTTTGTAGATTAAACCACCTACGGCCGCCTAGGGACAAAACATCGATGTATATAGATCGCGTTATGCATTTTATATCTTATATCAGTGTTTCCAAATACGTGGCACGTGTGATATTTGTGTTACGTTAATACTTTTTATGAAAAACAATATTTTTTTTATTTTTAATATCTAGCGGCTAGATTCTAGCTCATACTTTCTTTACTTTATTTTGGAGACGTATAACTTTTCGAATATATGTAAAATAAATAAGCCCTATGTTATGCCAGATATTTCGTCTTTAGAACCTGAAATTAATCGTTATTGTTTCCTTTGAAAAAGATACAAAGTTGTTTTTTATTATTATTAAAGGTGCATGTACGAAATTTGATACAAATACGTGTTGTAAGAAGTGGTTTCATTATTTAAATTAGCCTTCAGTTAATTTTACGAGAAAACACGTAAGAAGAATGGATACTTGGTAGACCTCTTAGGAATTTTCTTAAGACATGTATACTGCCCTTAATGCTAAAATTTATCCTACAGAGCGCTGCAAATGTGAGAAGTTGGAACGCAGTTGGATGTAAAGGCCAGTAAATTTAAGCGAAGTTCGTTCTGACGGTTTTGTGGTAGGAATCGTGATATATAGCCGAGGCTTTGGATAACAGTGGTGTTAGTCCATAAAGTGTAACTGCGAAGAGAAGTCAGTCTTAAGTTCGGGAATGTTTGATATTGGCAATCGATCCTTATACTAATGGTTTGAAATCGTTGTGCCCCCCATCGACTGTAGGCATAACACCTAGTGCAGTCATAGTGATTTACCATTGCGGTAGAATTTAATGGCTTGGTCTGCTGAGCTTCCTCCAGCAAAACCCTCCCCTTCTGCGAACGTCTAACTCTACTCCCTTCAGTGAATCATGGTTACTGATCAGTTCCACCAGCTACAAACCAGATGCGATATATTTTATACAACAGTGAACTGAGACTTCGATTCCAGTTAATGTTTCCGCTAGACGAAGTGCATGTGTGTTCTGGAAGGATGGCTGATGTATAACGCCTGCACCATGGGAGGTTCAGATCGAACTACCGTTGTGACCGGGTCTACAAAATCCGTTCTTTCCGGCCAGGTAAAGGAAAGTAGGGAAGTCTTTTTCCATGGAGGTACCAGCCCACGCCTTTCTTAGAACACCAAATACTTTTTTTAAAAAATCGTGTCTGTCAAGAACTAGACTAATTACGAGAGCGATTCAAAATACTAAACATTGTTTTGGTTTGTTGTAAACGTTTATAGTTCTATCATAGACTTCCTGCTTCGTATTAGACTTCTTCCAGCTGTCGACAAGTTTACTTCTACCTTAAAAATCCTTTTTGTTTGAGTATAGAGGCAGTCATGCACCGCTTCGATCATTTATTTCTCATTTTAATTTGGCGTCATCTGAGAAATCCTACAAGGGACCAAACAGATCATAATCGGTAGGTGCAAGGTCTGGACTGGATGATGGGTAGTCGATAGCTTCAAATTTAAGTTTCTGAAGGATTTGCTTGGGCAAGAGAATGAGGACGGGCATTGTCCTGTAAAGAAAAACCACCCTGCGACTGTCCCAGCACATAAGCGTTTGTGAATTTCAAGCACTTTAACATCCTCCGCCCATAAAAATGATTCAGGGTCCCTTGATCTTCCTTGGCGTAAATCGACACTGGTACCTACCTCCATTTGACAGTCCGAATGGAACTGATGCACCGGTTCCAAGGTCTCCTCAGGGGGTTCCCACCTTAAAGAAGACCACGACTCTTGAAAGCAATGTAGATTTTTGCAAATGCTACCTTGTTATTTTTATTATTGTTTCCAGGTTTTTGTCTTACGTTGTAACACTACGTTTCAAGAAGACTTCCTATTCCATCATCTACAATGGAAATTATTTTTCACCCAATGAAATTATAGAACACGTAGAATTATTATAAAATGGTGAAGGAAAATTAATTAAGTCTGGTATTCCGATGTCGGCTTTTTTTTTTATAAGGCTATGAAAGACTGAAGCAGCTAATAGCTTTATAAGAGAAAGCGTTACTCTCCGCAGCTTTAAATGCTTCCATCAGAATGTGAACTTTGCACTTGGTTGGCATCCAGTTAGCAAATGAGTTCAGTGATTGGTCTAATTTGTGTGTATAATCGAATCATTCTGACGGATAAGTACGAATGGATAGAGGAAGGGGTAAATTTTGCAACCCCGTATTGATTCAAATGGTCGACATTTATCAGGGAACCCGACACCCCGCTTTGGGCCAGCATCATATTTGCAGAGACCGAGATTTCTTAAACCAGCATGTATTGCTCAAAAGTAAATGAGAGTAGGTCTGCTTATTTGTAGAATGGAATCTCGTTTGTTTAATACAGTTTTTGCTCGTTAAGAATTGATGCGTTTGTAGGAGGAACGTAATTATTAAATGCTTAGTAAATAATTAAATTTTCTTGCGAAACGACGGTTTCGTTGACATTACAAAAACGGTTTAAAATTGTATTTACATTGTTCTCGTTACTTCATATTTGCTTAATGAATTCCGGAAACGTTAACACGAACTTTAGTCATAAAGTAAGTTTAACAAAGGAATAATATTAAAATATTTCAAAATGATGTAATGTGTGTATCAAGTTAATTTAAATACAAACGCGCTCTTTATAGATAAGCACATTTTTCCGTTGACCTAACTTTTTAAAAAAAGTTCCATAAAGTATGGTACGAAAATATATTTACAGAACAAATTAACACATGGTAATTCGTCTGACTTGTAATTAAGAGATACTTAGTTCTAATATTTGTCGAAAATATGCTGCCCTAATTTATATTTACTAATCTTCTAGGTAAATAACCGAATAGCAATTTAAAATACTCCACAACCGTTTATCATCACATAAACCCATATCACCATTTCTGATCATCCTCAAACTTCATTCGGCGTTCATAACATTTTCATTTCGTTCTGTACAGCTCAATAACCTAGAAATAAATAACATCAAGAGTTCTCAAAGCCTATAGACTCAGTCTATTCATCGTACCACATATCATATGGAACTCCTATTGATATGAAAGCCCATACTAAATCTCACATTTTCAAGATAGAAAATTTTCTTTTCAGACTTAATTCTCAATTCATAGTGTTTCATTTCAAAATTGTCTTTATCTGGGATTCTATCGTTTCCTTATTGTCGGTAGAGTTATCTGTTCACCTATGTATGCATTTATTTATTTACCCAATAATTTATATTTTTCTGGGTTTCATATTTCTCCTTGGGATTATTTTCTCTTGCACGCCAACAGCCTACGTGCATTATTATATTTATTTCAGTTCCCTTCTACCATTATTGGATTAGAACACAGATGACATTATTTTTCCTTCTTAAATATCGTAGGAAGTTTTTGGACTCCTGTAAGTTCCCACCTAATTCGGCTGGTTTAAGGTCGAATTACGGATACAAGACTTGAGAAATCGGGCAGTCATAATAACTCAATTTCCGATGTGATCTGTATATCAATATCATTGACCACAAAATCCAGAAATTCGTTCTGAGTCCAAGATTTTGAAATATATTTATACAGATAATATCTCCTACTTCATTGGCCAGAAAATTATATTATTTATTCGCACTTTATGTACAAACATTGTCTGTCGATCTGTCTTCTGTGTTTCTTTGCCGTGTGTTCCAGGAAGTTTCTTTAACAATTCTGATGAACATACTAGCGGTCAGTCTTAAAGGTGTAGGCAGTATTTGCTTCCTTCACAATAGCTCCTACCTGCGATTCCACACAGTGTTACAACCCAAACGACCATGAATGCCGTTCTCACATTCGTGAGATCCTCAAATTTTGAACATTACCTCTTTAGTTTTGATGTGCAACTCATACAAAACTAACATATGTCGTAATTATACGTGGCCGGAAGATAGCTGAGGTTTCGGATTTTTATAGCTACTGTTGAAGTAAGTAAAGTAATACATTTGTATTTTATATTCGCTGCAGTTGTCGGGAATGTTGTCAAGGAAAAGAAACTATCCGATGCATCCAATAAAGTGTGACCCCAAACGTCTCCTGACTACGTGGAAATTGTTGCAGGGGATGCACGAGGTGCCAGGAGTGCGGCTACCACTTCAAACGAGTTACGCATCACCGAGCCCCCACGCCGTGTTCATGTACAGCACGACGGGTGGCGCGGAGGGCAGTGTGACGCTTCAACTGCGAGACACGGATGACTTGGACGACAAGAGTGGCCTGGCCTCCGTGCTGGCTCGCCTCCAGCAGGAGGATGCCACTCTCAGCATCAGTTACCAGGACAGCGAAATGCTCACCGAGGGTAGCATCGACGTCCTGCTCGGCACTAGCTCACTCCACAACACCGGTAAGTCGCATAAGTCAATATCTCGTTCGCAACATGATTGTATGAGTTTCGCTTGGTTTCCTTAATGAACGTATTTAATTCGCAGTATTTAATCTGATGAACTGGGCCAAAACGTTTTCAAGATTTATCCCGTAGGCTCCTATTTTATATCGTCTTGTAATTATTGCGGGCGTATGCAGTGGTCCCGCTTGATTTTTGAGGTACAAGACTCATGCAAGTAAAATTGCCCCGGTCATAATCTTGAGCAAGGCTGTTTAAAGTTGATTATTGCATCGCTTAGTTACCTGCAATTATGTTGGGATAATGGAGTTATAACAAAGGTTTGCTACATACGCAGGCCAACCCGCAAACCTTTATAAGAATATGTTTATTCACAAACTATGAATTGAACAAAAGTTTACATACATATGGGTAAATACAGACAAGTAACAAAGGATGGATCACTGTGCAGCGCCGAGGACGTTTCCTGGTTCTCTGCCCCCAGTTTCTAATCCAGAAAGAAAACTCCAGTTTCGTCCGAAATAAATGGTAGCGACGTGAACCGCGCAACCACCGGCCAGAGACTGACGCTCTCTGGTCCCCGTATTACTTAAGAAAACAACAGAAGACCAGGGCACACTCTGACGGGAAAATAATGAAGTTTGGGAACAGGTTGGCACAAAGGAAAGTAGGTAAGGTACAGAGTGACGGGGAAGGAAACGTCACAGGATGAATGGGGCAATTATATTATATGTGTTATCCGTTTTATAATATATTTAAATAATTTATCTGAAAAGTTTTGTAGCGTTACAAATTTAGCTTACCATGTACCCTGCTTAATTTCTAAAAAGGATTGTATTTCGCAAAAAACATATTTTCATGCCCATTGCCTCGACACATTTTTTTATAAATACTGTACTTAATTTGACAGAATCCACACTTCGCTCTCATGTTTACAGAACTCTTCCTCAGAGACTGAAGATGATTTCAGTTTCTTTTCAAATTTGTCGTTTTTGATACCTGTTGTCCGTAGTCAAATCTTTCCGCGTTCCAGTCTATAAATTCTCTATATTCTCAGTAGCGGTGAGAACATTATTTTCTTCTTAAACGGAATTTTTATATTTCTTTTGCTGGAGATGATAATTAAGTTTTTACCTTGTGGTGCTTTTCATGACGGCTTTGGAAAATCTTCAGAGACTACTTTAGTCGTACTTGTTGGAGTTTTGAAGTCGATAGTTTATCAGGATGTGTACATATTTTGGAACTGTATGGCTAGAATACGGTTAATATCTGGACACAATAAAATACAGTTCTGGAAAACAGATAGTTCGGACAGATGGACAGAAATGGGAGTTGTTGTGAAAGATCATGGCAAAAGTTCGTGTTGTGAGAAGACTGCAGTAGAAGAATACAGACATTGTGCTCTTGCGGGTGTTGATTTTAACCATGATAGTACCATACAAATATTTAATTCCTCATCTGCAATTAAAACGTGATCCTATTGAACGCTTCGCCAAGATCTTTTTCTAAAATGTAAAAATTGTATGATAAATAGGCTATGTTCATTGTGAAACCAATGATCAATTGCCTGTCGGGTAACTATCGAATTTAGTTTACATAGGCAATGAAATATTTCATTCTTTCCATACCAGGTTTCTCAACACAGACATTCTTCAGTAATTTTTGTTGTGAGGAATGGTACAAATGGTTACCCTAAATTATTACTTTCACTAGTAATACCACACACAAATGCTCCATATACAGTACAAGGCTCGATTGAAAGCATTACAGCCTGTCCTTCTTGTCACATGTACAGTGTTAATTACACTTGGATGTCTTCTGTTTTACCCTAGAGGACGATCAACTTTATATTGCGTCATTTAAATTCATGACTTATTAGCGAGGCTTTTAAAATAATTTATACCGTAGTTTGATATCCTCCAATCAGTTTTAACAATCTGAAATGAAACTTAATACTTTAGTGATGCGTTGTTTTCGTCATTCTGGTTGTTGATGGCGATAACATGTCTGGTATAATTTCCCTCGGTTCACTGCATGCAGTAATCTGTTTATAATCACAGTGTTGTGTCTCTGGTTGCATCCATCTGTCTCAATTCTTGTCGGCAGCGGCACTGGTTATAAATATTTTATAGCCAGCCAGACGTTCAGGATTGTAACGTAATGTTTATTAATGATAAAGTCTGTTTACGTATTGGACTTGTGTTTTTTGGTTGTTGAAACGAATCTGTGAATACGTAATGTCAAAAACAATCAAGTATCCATTATTATACCGAGAAATTTTATGTTGATGGAAGTAAATAATTCTTCTTAGGCTGGTTCATTAGCTAATTATTTTCCGATCCTAACGAATATGTGTCCACGCATTCGAACGTGACATTGTCATGGTCATTTTCCTCTCCAGTTTCTCCGCCCATAGTCTAATTAAGTCGTATTTTCCCACAGTTTTAATTACTGCTTATTTAACACACACGACGTACTGTGAGTGCTAGGATTCTCTAAATTTCTGTCCATTAAGCTTCGGGTTTCGTTAATGAGCTTTTTGGATTTTCCTTAGTCTCTGCAGGAGAATCTGGGACATTGCATTAAAATGTAAAACGATCGTATCTTTCAATTTGTTACCGAAACCCACATCATTCGACGTTAGTAAAGTATTTTGTTACCGAAACCCACATCATTCGACTTTAGTAAAGTATAGCTGTGCCGCTACACGCCATGTAGATCGCTTGGGGGGAGAGACAAAGAATCCTCCAGCCTCGTGACTTCTAGCGTTGGTATTACTGATTGTAGGTAATCAAAAATAGGACGTGAAATTTGACATTTTTACAGCGACGAATATGAAGTTTGCTATGGACTGAAATGTTTCATCTCGGAAGACAGCCATCTCCATAAAACGTACGTGTTAGAATTGGCCTGCAGTGGCACAACCTGCGTACCAAATTTCACTAAAACCCTCTCAGTTCTTTTCGAATTTTTGTGTATGTATGGAAGGACAAAGCGAACTCCGCAGAAATACAAACGCATGTGAAATCTGCACGGCCACGTATTTAAACCTCGTTACCAGTCGGGATATTTGTGTTTCAAACTTGTTTAGTCGCTTCAGTTTAGGTAATTATGTTGGACGCTGTGCATTGAGGTTGTACATTATAACGATGTTCGGGACTTCGCTCTGTTCCCGTCTGGTCCTGTCGCTGATTGGACATTTATAAGAGCCACCGCATGGACTCGTGGTTAGCATGCAAGATTCATATTCAGATGGTTCCTGTTTCACTAATATCAACAACTTTTGAAATTTCTCTTCTTTGTTTCTTGATTTATTTAACGATACTATGCCTTATGTATATTATATGTACCGCCAAAATGACTGGGCGATAATGTGTGTGTGTCTTGAATTTTTTCATTCTGATATTTATTTAAGAAAAATACCTTATTTTATGATAACTAAGATAGGCTTAGTACAGTCATTATCGTAATGCCAACTTTTGTATCCAACTTGTTAACTAAATTCAGTTACAATAACTGTTAACCGAATAACATAACGATAATGAGTGTGTTTTTCATATATTTATATTTATATTTGTTGGTTAAATTCAGTCTTATACATTCTTTGATATTCATCATGATTGCGATAATAAACACTGACCTGAAGATGGCTACGTATATCCGTAACATATCGCCCAGCAAAATAAACGTAAAGATATGTAGCTTAAATGAGTGCATAGTGCAAAAAATATAACAATTTTTTTTGTATGTATACGGTTACTTAACAATAATTTCGTTATATACACATTCGCAGTGTTCCAATTGAAAGTGATCACTTTTGAATATAAATAAAATTTTCTTATAATAATTTTACTTTCGCTCTCAATTTAAATAGATAAAGAAGTATCTTCCCCTTTCCTTTTAGATTTATTGTACATTATAAGACATTCAAGTTTTTGTCTGTTTTATCCGTTGGCTAATGTAGTTTCTCATCCGCCTGTGTGCAGACGAAAGGCATGTATAAATTACTCTGTATCTTGTCTGTGCTCCTACGTTCTGTTGCACCGTGCTGAATATTTTTGCACTGTATCGCATGTCTAAACAGGCGCTAGGAAGCCATGCATACATTCGGACGTCCTATTTCAGCTGCCTGCGTTTTTGCTTTATCGCCCCGTGGGACGCAGTCTGCCTCGTGCACTTGTCATCCCGGTGATGTAAACAACTCTTTGTGGTAGGAATGCTGTCACACCGTGCACATTTTTAAACGACACACCGCCCTCTCGTCCCCGCAACGCCTGCTTTAACGCTGTTCTTTTATTTAATGCGACAACACGTCTTGTATTCCAGGACTGTGAAAGTTTTGCTTTGCAGAATTGGCAGAGAAACAAACTTGTGTTTTGAAAACGATAGGATATAATCAAAAAGGAAATAAATTTTGTTTCACAGTCAAGAATCCTGACTTAACATAAGATGTATATGGCGTCAAGGGAAATCAGACTGGAGGAAGATGTATGAAGAGTTGAAGAGTATCTACCTAAAGTAAAGAGAACTGAAATAACTACGTTGTTATTATAGTTCTGTGTATTGTTAGGTAATTAATGACTACGAAATTGGTTGCCGTCTTGTGAGATCGGGGGATGGCTACGTAAGGTTAATTTAAAAGAATCAGGGAGGAAACATTTACTTATTTAAAAATTAAACGGGGAATTCCTAAAGCAAAATAAATTTTAGTTTACCTGTAAAGTGACGTTGGCAGCACTGGAAATAATGACGGGTAGTAACACTACGAATCTCCCCTCATTTACATTTAAAGTATCCGTCGCCAAATTGCACGCTTCAAGGTCACAGCGGTATCGTACAACGTTGCAACACAAGCCACGAGCGAGTAAAAACAGCTCACAACTGGCACCGTAGCAAAGCTAGCAACGCTGTATTTTTGACTTACTTACAGCCACGCGGAAATTGAAGGGGGTGTTGATGGTGAAGTTCTTTTGTGGTCTTGTTAGCTAGCTAGTTCTGGC